TACATATGGAAGTAGAATGCGTGCCGCATCCCAGAAAGGGATTAATCAACGGCAAACGCTTTATCCTTTTGTTTAATTTTTAACTCTGACTCTGTCTTCACCTTATTTCCATTCCCACTGGATTCTGCCTCTTTTTCTCTACTTCCTACTACCTTTAAAGATGCCCACTCGGCTTACTCATTCACAGGAAAGATTGCTTCAGAGAACTATCGTGGAATATGCTTTGAACTATGGATTCTTCTACTCGCAACATACGACAGAATGATTCATCTAAGGGAACAGCTGACCAAATCGCTAAAAGCTGAAAAGGTGAACTTCGAAAGCGAAACAACCGCCCTTCAAAATCACCCATGTGAGGTACTGGGTGTAGAGATAATAATGGCAAGCAGTAGTGTCGAGATCTGGGAGAACAGGATTAGGGACTCATACCTTGTACACGCCGTGTTGTTCGATTAAGGTATCAAAACTGCTGTAAAGCTCGTTCAGAAGATTCACGACCTGAAATCGGTTAAATAAATTTGGGAAGCTTCGCCAAGTACGAAAGGATAAATTGGCGAGAAAAAAGTCTTGAAGAATACCTGAAAGGGAGTGCACTTTGCTGCAAGGATCGTGAATTGTACCACATCCGAGAAAAATACTGTCACACTGTCGAACCCTTCTGGATCGACTGATTGGCCCATCTTAAGACGTTCAGCCACTTCTCTGAAATACCTACTTGCCATAGAGTACCTAATGTGAGAGTATTTCAGCAAGATGAAAATCACGATTGTGGATTGGCGTTTTGTTTTGTTCAAAAATCAGGCAAGTGCAAGGAGGAATTTTTGGTGAGAAAAAAAGCAAAACGCCTCATGTGGAACACTGAAATTTCCCTTGCGAGGTCAGCCGTGGTATGACGGAGCGCTGCGAGGAGAGGGAAAACGCGAGAGAGTACGTCGTAGAGGGCGCAGACGCCACGTATGCCGCGATTGATAAGGATGGCAGCACGGCAGCACACAAGGCAAGGCCTTAGCGCCGTTGCCTCGCACTTTTGAGTCGCGACAGTGTCGTGCCTTCTGCATTGGAGACCCCTTTCTCACTCTATGAGGGACTGGCTCTTGGGACCTATCCCGACTCGGTTTAAAGGACGAATTCACGATGAAAAAGCAACCCATTTCAAATTAACCTAGGGATGGTGAGTGGTACACGAAAGAAGGAAGAACCATGAGAAACGGCTCAGAAC